AAGCAAGCCTCCTGTTCACTTCAGCTGCCTGACTGCTGGCTGCCATCTTGGTTGGCAGTTAATTTGCATATCGCCCTGATTAGCCAATGGGAAGTGTGTCGGAGGTATGGTTAATTACCATGTTTGTCTGTTATTAGATAGGATAGATACATAGTTGTGACAGAGACCTCTGGCCCCAAAATACCTATATTTACTAACTAGCATTTACAGAGAACATTTGCCAATTCCTACTATATATGATGGCTTCTTGGCATCAAACTCTAAAATAAAAAAGTGGCTTGAGATAAGTATCTTTTCTGTTAAAATTATGAATTACTGAAAGTGAAATTATGAACACCCCCAGTCTCTAAAGATACTAACAAAGAAAAAGTTATAAAATATCTAAAAACACAGTTACACTGGGATTATTCAGCCTCAGAAGAGAGATTGCATGCCAGGAAAAGTACAGAAACATGACTCAAAGTTTTAATAATTGTTCAAAATGGCTGAAGCAAAACCCTCCCCTACCAAAAAAAAAAAAAATCTTAGAACATGTCAAGATCTTGTTTAGGTATGGGAAAAATATTAAAGAATACATGAGTCTACTGCTTGGTGACAATATTAAACAGTAGTCCCCCTTTATCCATGGGGGATACACTCCAGGACACCCAGTAGGTGCCTTAAAACCGTGAATAGTACCGAACCCTATCTATTTCGTTATTGTTATTGTTGTTCGTTTCTTACATATCTTTTCACTTTTAAAAGAACTCTTTATGGATTCTCTTCGGCATATACAAATGGCTTTGGAACCAGTGTTAAATAAAGTAAGGGTTACTTGAACACAAGCACCATGATACCCAACAATGGATCTGATAATGGAGATGGCTACTAAGGGACAGTGGCTTATACAGCCTGGATATGCTGGACAAAGGGATTATTCACATCCTGGGTGGGATGGAGCAGGGGGGCATGAGATTCCATCATGCTATTTAGAACAACACGCAACTTAAAGCGTATAAATTGTTTATTTCTGGCATTTTCCAATTAATATTTTCAAAAGTCAATTGGCCACAGGTGAATGAAACCATAGGAAGAGCAACTACAGATGAGGGGACTACTACTTTATTATCAGATATTAAGATGAAGACAGACTTCTTTGATCCTAGAAGTCCTCCACCAAAAAGGAAAGTGTTAAACTAAAATGGAAATCATATACGATTAATAAGAAAATCAAAGCTAAGGACAATGAGTCACTTTTAAAAAGTTCAGGTATGCAGGCCCAATGAACTACTATTTCAAGGCATATTTTTTTTTTGAAAAGCAGCTTGTAAATATAATAACAGAACCACAGATGACAACCTTGGAAGACATATAAACAGCAGGAGAGCAGGCTTAATACATACGAGAGGCAACTGCCTCTCTGCCTTATTTTTGTAAGCTAAACTGACTCTAAAAAATGAAGATCAGTGATCTTGACACTATTCCTCAGCAAAATTCTAGAACAGGTTACTAAACGTGGTTTGTGAACATTAATCTATTTTTTAAAACCTGCCATAATAAACATAGATTTGTTCAAAATAAGCCATACTAAGGGGGCGGGCTAGAAGGGGGTCAATGGAGGCAAAAGGGGGACATATGTAAACTCTCAGTTATAAAGATTTAAAAAGAAAAAAAATAAGCCACACCAAACCTTGTTTCCTTTTCTTACATGTTACTAAATGAGTGGATCACAGAAATGCATTAGCTGTATGATATCTGAACCAAAAAAGCCTCTCATGGCCAACCTGGAGTAAGCCCACTTACTATTTGTGTAACTTTTTAACATCTGGAACAAGAGGCAAATTCCATGGGTCTCTTGAATTTCTAAATGTGTTGTGAGCAGAGATTCTTGTAACTTTTGTTCTGGGCTATCTTTTCATGGATGTTTTTATAGCATCAAGCCTTTGAAGGCAGAGATGAGTTCTCCCTCCAGAACAAAGGAAAGGTTTGTCTTCAGCTCATTATAAAAGATTGGGGTTCCCAAACTTAGGATTCCTCGTCTGTGAGACAGCTCACTGAGAGTATGGCATCGAGCCACTCTGCAAAGCGTCTGTGGAGCCTGGAGGACAGGAACCAAAACAAACCTGAAGCTCACGCTGCGTGCTGTAACAGGAGTAATAATGTCCCCTTGTTTCTGACCCAGAAGTCTTGTGTCTTCTATAAGCTTCCACAAAACAATCACTGGCTAAGAGTAGTTTACTAATGTGCAAATAGGATAAAATCTCAGATCCTTCACAGTCCGTGATAACCTGCCATTCATAAAATGGGGAAATAACAGTACCTCCTTACAGAGGTGTTATAAAAATTAACTTAATGCACGTAAATTGCTTAGGAAAGTGCTGAAACAGTTTAATGAATGTTAGCCATTATTGTAATGCTAATGGTGATTAATTTCAAATGTATGTAAGTAAGTATACAATCACATCAAAGTATGAATGACAAGCCAGAGCATCCATGCTCACTACGTTTAGAAAAAGCTCTAATCTTAGCTGTGTTCTGCTCAAAGTTTTTCATAAATCATTGAATAGAGCTATAAAAATGCATTACTCAAAATTATAATTTTTTAAAAATACTTTTATTGATCTCAGGAAGGAAGAGAGAGACAAAAACATCAATGATGAGAGAGAATCATTGATTGGCTGCCTCCTGCACACCCCCTACTGGGGATTGAGCCCGAAACCCAAGCATGTGCCCTGACCAGGAATTGAACCCTGACCTTCTGGTTCATAGGTCAACGCTCAACCACTGAGCCACATAGCCGGGTGCATGACATAACTTTTAACATAGATAACAGAATCGGGATTTTTTAAAAATCTTGACATGCTGAATAACCTAAACTATATAAATAAAACAAAAATTAACAGACATACAATCCTATTAAAAAGAAACTATTCAAATTGTATATTAATTCCAAGTTATATAAAATGAATTACAATTCTAGTAACAATGTAACATTATTAAAAAAAATGAATGCGCTATTAGGTTGGAGAAAAAAGGAGATAAATTTCCAATATGTTCTTTGTTGGTCAGGCCACAATCGTGGATGGTTGATTTAGCTCTGGATAGATTTTAAGGGAACTTGGGCCAACAGAAGCATCCTAGAGGAGTGATCAGAACTGTAAAGGGTAAAATAAATGCAAATAGTATATAAGGTATAACTGAAGAAACGTGACTTTTTTAACCCGAGAAAGGAAAGATTTATTTGAAAAGTTACCTATGTAAAATATTCTGTGCAAATCCAAAAAGCGGAGCTAAGAATAATGACTCATTAAGAGATTCCAATTCAATGATAAGAAAGAACTTTTTGTCAATTAAATTTTTTTAAATGTTGAATGTCACAAGCCAGGATTATGGCAAATGGGGATTGCCTCCTTCACATTCAGATCTCCGTAAACTGCTCACTGCTTGTCTGAAAAAAAAAAAAAAAAAAAAAAAAAAAAAAAAAAAGCCAAAATAATAGGAAATTTCTCCAGGCCTCTGGTTCATTTTCACTCCTGTCTTGCTTCCCTGGTTTTTGTTCCATTTCAGCCTAGCTAGCCCCTTCAAACTGATACTTTGTTCTAAGCAGCCCTTTTGACTTTTTTATTTACCTTTCAGCTAATTCCCTTTTTCCATACAATGCAGCCCCTAGGCAACTTGACAGAGGCTCCTGGATAACACCCTAGCCCCGCCTCCCATCTGCTCAGAAGGGAGATTGGAAAGTTATTTTTATGATCTCAAAGGTTCCTTTGAATTCTAGGATTCTTGGATTCTTCATCCTTCTTTTGCCATTTACAGGAACAGGTGAATGATCAATGATTAAGGAACGAAGAAGTAAGTGAATAAAGAAATGAACATTATTATAAACACCTGACAATGAGCTGCTTTCTTCTTTAAAGCTTGGCTAAGTGCATGAGTCTTACAGCTTTCAATCGGTCAAAAGTGAAACGATATAGACCTGTGGGAACAAGAAAAGCAAGTACCAGAGCAAGAGAGAGACAATGAAAGTAGGAAGGAGGGTAGAGAACTGTGGTAAAGATCCCAAAAATAATCCCTAGAAATGATTATCCAGTAAGGTCTCTTGTTTATCAGCCAAGTCAATTTATAAGCCAAAATAAAATTTAAGGCTGTATATATATATATATATATATACACATACATAAATTTATTTGGATGAAAAAATGAGAGAATTCTGTACCCTAAGAAATTATGATAGGAACAAGCAACTACATCTTGAAAAGGCAAAAATGATCATCAAACAATATAGAGGAATCTCAAATGCAGGTGCTAAATGAAAGATGCCTGATTCCAAAGGCTAATTACTGTAAGATTCTACTTATAACACAGACTTGAATACGGTCTAAGTGTACACAATAGAATAGTATTCAGCCCTGAGAAAGGAGGCTGTCCTACTACTTGATGGACAACATAGATGGACACTGAGCACATTTTGCTAAGTGAGCCAAGTTAGACAGAGAGAGACAAGTACTCTTTGATATCACTTATATATAAAGTAAAATAAACTCAAACTTGTAAAAAGAGAGTAAAATTGTGGTCACCAGGGGATGGGCAGGAAAGATAAAGTGGATATTGCTTAACAGTACAAGCTTGCAGTGGGTAGTAAATAAGCCATAGACATCTTCTCATAAAAATGTAATTCCAGTAATAATAAACATTAAATATCTTTGTTCATGTATTCATAGGTTACCATATATTCTCTATTATTGTACATTTGCACTTAAAATTTTCTTATACAATCTGAAAAACAAGTTGTCTCTTAAAATAAAAACAAAATTTAATATAATGATGTTCTTTTAACCAGTTAACTTTAAGCCACATGTCCAAAACAGAAACCATCCCCACACGCCACAATATTTTGAATTTAATTTTAAAAATCAATTTGCAATTATAAAAATAAATATAGTACTCACAACTCGGGTGTTCTTGAATATTTTCAGCTGAAAATTCTCACAAAAAAATGATTTTAAAATTGGTGGGGGCTGCAACTTAGAGAAAACATTTTTTTTATAGATTCAGATGGCATGTGGGAAAGTGTCTACAGACGCTTATGGTGCACAATGGGTTAATATAGCAACATGAGTAATATAGTAATATAGCACGTAAATAGTTGAACTTTAGTATCTGGTATTATTTCAGCCCAGTGGAAACGAAATATTTTCAGGACACAATTAGAGGGATATCAAACAGAACAGATATAAAACCAAACACCAATTAGAAATCACAAATTACATTGCCTTTCATTTGTGTAATAGTTTGAGCAATAGACATGCAGGGCTAGGGAAAGTTTGGCATTATTGAAAATTACAACAGCAAATAATTTGAAGTGATAAGAGAGCAACATACATGTATACTTCTCTGGAAGTAAAGAAATACAAATAGATCAAGAACATATAAATTCAAAATTTTTATATTTGCGACAATACAAAGTCAGGCTGTCAGATGAAATTTATTCTCTACAACATACATTCTCTATAACATATAACAACATAAAAGGTACTGAAGTATGAATGTTGGCAAGCTCACATCACTGCTAAAAACCATCACAATTTATAATCCCTTATGTTCTGAGAAGAAACCGTCTTTGCTGCCTTGTTTGTCTGCATGGTGGGCTGGCTCTCACAGGCTGAGAAAGGAGAACTTCCTTTGCATGGGACAGCACACCTCATGAGGTATGAACACTGGCATGACATTTGCATGTCATGATTGTTGGATGGGGCAGCAAAGGAGTAAAGGAATGATTTAGATGAGGCTCTAAAAACACTTTGGCAGTTCCCAGGAGAAGAAAGATGTCTCAAGAGATTTGGGGCAAACTTTCTAAGTGGTGCACTGTATAAACTAGAGCAAAGATATGCAGTACTCCTGTAGTTGGGAGTTGTATTTATTTCTAATGCACATTGAATAGTCTGGGCCAATATGTTATGTAGGTTCTGAAAATGGATGTCTCTATATGTAAAGTCCATAAAGAGGGTAGCTTTATGTCTAATTTTAAATGGGGGGATGAGGACACATATGTACTACCTTAATCAATAAAGAAAATAAAAGTGTTATGACTTGACCCCAAAGGTAAGGGAAGTAAAGGCAAAAATAATGAATGGGACTATATCAAACTAAAAAGCTTCTGCACCGAAAAAAAAAAGTAAACAAAACAAAGAGACAGCCAACCAGATGGGAGATGATACGTGCAAACAGTAGCTCTAACAGTGGTTTCTTCTGAGTTTTTTATATAATCTCCAGAATATATAAAGAACTCACAAAACTCAACACCAGACAACCCACTCAAAAAGTGGGCAGAGGACCTGACCTGTCTCAAGAAGACATGTGAACAGCCAATAGATACATGAAAAGATGTTCACCCTCACTGGCAATGAGGAAAATGCAAATCAAAACTCCAATGAGATACCACCTCGCACCTGTTAGAGTGGCCATTATCAACAGGACAAGCAATAACAAGTGTTGGAGAGGCTGTGGAAAAAAAGGGAACCCTCATCCACTGCTGGGAATGTAAACTGGTACAACCACTATGGAAAGCAATCTGGCAATTGCTAAAAAAAAATTAAGAGTAGACCTATCACACGACCCAACAATTTCTCTCCTGAATATATATCTGAAAAAATCGAAATCATGTATTCGCGGAGTTATGCACCTACGTTCACTGCAGCATTATTCACCGTGGCCAAGACATGGAAACAACCAAAGTGTCCTGCGATAAGGGATTGGATAAAGAAGATGTGGTACATATACGCAGTGGAATACTACTCAGCCATAAGAAGGGATGAAATAGTGCCACTTGCAACAACATGGATGGACCTTGAGATTATGATGCCGAGTGAAATGTGTCAGTCAGAAAAAGCTAAGAACCTTATGATTGCACTCATATGTGGGGTATAAAATTGAAATTCATAAAAACCAAACGCAGTGTGGTGGTTGCCAGAGGGAAGGGGATGGAGGTTGATGACGATAGGAGATCTGACTTTGAGTAGTGGACACACAGTGGGATATACAGACCTTGTAACACAGAATCCCACACCTGAAACCTATGTGATCATGTTGACCAATGTCACCCCAATAAATTTAATAATAAATAAATAAATAAATAAATAAAGTTTAGCAAACAGCTTACTCAATTCCACATTTTATTTCTGGATTGTTGGCATCATCACTACATATATGAATGAGAACAGGACAAAGGCAAAATTGTGGAGAAATTAATACTTATGGAATGTTAATATATGCACCTCAGGAAAGAGAATTTTGGGTGGTTATTGATTTTTCTGAACCCTAACATGATCAAATCATGCAGTCTGCCTTACCCTCTTCTTGTTTCAGCATTCTGTTTAAATAAGATGAGGCTCCATTCCTGACCGAGAAAGAGGGGTGTGTTGTGAGAATGCCTAGTAGGCTAAGAAAACTAAAACAAAGAATCCCACAACTTCTAAATTTTAACTGAATTCCCCATGAGCTTCATATACAAAATTCTTTGTGATCATTTTGGTTGGTTTTAATTTTTATTTTAGGAAGTATATTTTTCTCCCTTTCACCCTTATATAATATGCTTGCTGATATGGTACTAAGGCGAGATCATGTTCATAGCTTCAAATTTGAATCCAGGTACTTCACATAAAATGTTTTAGTTGAAAGTAACCTAAAAATAAATCCAGCCTCTTTTTTAAATTTGGAGGAAATGACCTGCTCAATATCACACAATAGTTATAGACAGACCAAGTATCAGAAAGCAGGTCTCCTGGCACTTAACATGGGGCTCTGTGTAGAAAGCCAAGCTGGGTATTTTACTATCTGGGACAATAATTATATTTTTCAGAAAATTTTATTTTGATTCATAGTCTGATAAGTGTTATTATCATCAGAGAAGTCCTTTAATACAAATGTACCTACTCAGAACCAGGAAAGAAGAATATATTGGGACTTGGAATAGCCAGATGGCAACATGGAGGGCACTGGGTAGCTATGCAGCAGGAGTGGAGGAGCAGAGGTATGTCTTAGTAATATTTAAAATGAGAAAAGAGGGGTACCTATGTATTAAAACCCCACTTCGCCTTGCTTTAGAATTTTTCAAGGACCACATAGTCACTGGTGGTTTAATAAGATACCAGAATTATTTTGAAATATCTCATAATTCTGTCTGGAGGACAGAAAAGGAAAAGAGAAAAATGAGAAGAAATGGGCAAAGAAGAGAGACCTCCTCCTCATTATCAATAGAAACGATCAAATATTCTTTTCACTCTTTTCATGGTATTTAGAATAAAACTGCTGAGCAAGTTAGTGCACATTTAAAATAAAGATATAATATGTAAGAAGGAGAGCTACAGGGCATTAGGTTTATAAGACACTAGGGGCCCCATGCACGAAATTCGTGCATGGGAGGGGCACCCTGGCTCTCAACCACTTGCCTGCCTGTCTGATCACCATAACCACTCACCTGCCTGCCTGATCGTCCCTAACTGCTCGCCTGCTTGCCCAATGGCCCCCAACTGCCTCTGCCTGCCTAACTGATTGCCCCTAACTGCTCACCTGCCTGCCTCATTGCCCCTGACCACTCGCCTGCCTGTGTGATCACCCCTAACTGCTCGCCTGCCTGCCTGATTGTCCCTAACTGCCTCTGCCTCAGCCCCCACCTGACGTGGCTTCATCTGGAAGAACTTCCAGAATGACATCTGGAAGGTGGTTTGGCTGTCCGGTTTAATTAGCATATTATGCTTTTTTTATTATAGATTATCTATATTTGTGTGGTATTATATGGGTAGTTGTATCACTTACTCACACCTTTAGTTTTAGTTGTCCAAAAGCAGTTTGAGCAAGCTAAAGAGTGGGATTTTAAATTTGGAGAAATGGACTTTCCATCAAATCATAAATCTTCAATATGCTCTATTTAAGGATGATTAAGAAAAACAACAAGTTGTAGCCTTATGCTGTGTGTGAATGTCAAGAAGGAAAGTCATATAAATCTACAGGTTTTCAGAAGATACCTTGGCTTGGACCACCTCCCTCCATCTTTACCCAAAGACAATCCTAGAAATACTTGCTATGCCCACCTTGTAGTCATAGTGTAGCC